AAGATTTCTGTGTTTGTGTTCTGCGCACAGGTTTTGTAGGAAAGGTTTTTCTTCTCAGGCCGTCAAATCTTGAATCGTTTCCATTTAAGAACCGGATGAAAGCAAAAAATTCGGAAACGTAATTCAAATATGAATTTTTTGGTTGCTAGCCATCATCGTTTGGGTTTTAAGTTTTCATTCCAAAGCTCGACGTAAACGGAATAAATTAAATGAAGACGTGAACACGCTTAAAGAACGCAAACCACAATTTGACTCGATTCCATTCAACTTTCAACAGTTTTTTTCTTCTTTCTTTCTTTCGATTCAAGTGGATGGTAATAATGCAATTTCGGTTCGGTTGGTTTCGCTTTGCATTTTGTCGTCCATTGTGTGTGTGTGTGTGTGTGTGTGTTAGACTGTTGTTTCCCATTGTCATTAAAACTAATCGCTTTGTGTGCTGCAGGTGTTTTTTGTTTTTGTTGTATGGGTGTACGGTTGGATGTGTATGTATGCTTAAGTTGCACACATTCATGACTTTTCAGTCCGATATCAAGTCTGTCATCAAGTTTGCTTTTGCTCAACGTTCCTAATCAAAACCATAATTGATCGGGAAATATTTGCAAGAACAAAGTAAAACAAAATAAAAATTGTTGATGGTATCAGGCAAAAATTGCGTTGTGGTTTCAAACACATTGGTTCCACTTGAGTTCCCATCATCCTTTCTTTCCCTCGATGACGAAAAGAGACAGAAAAAAAACACACACGAAAGAATATGCTTGATGAGAGTTGATGGAAATTTTAAAAGTTCTCTTTGAATTAAACGCGTTCACTTCACAAAATTGAAATACAAAAAATAACAATGATTTCCAAAAACTGACTCGTCTCACTCAACTCACACAGATTTAACGATAAGGGGGGGACGAAAAAGCGTTCACGCTAACGATTACGTTCGTTTGCTCGCACAAACCGGAGAACGACGAAGGAGAAGAAGAAGAAGAAGAAGAAGAAGAAAAAAATTAAATATTCCGCTGAACGAGCGCAACCGAAGTGTGTGCTTTTTGTAACGCGATTTGAATGAGGGATGAGACAATTTTTTGGAAAAGTTCGTGCGGAATCGAATGAAAAAAAAAACCTGCAGTTTGTACAGAAGAAATTATCTCTTTCATCGCATATTTTGTATTGTACCCAGTGCGCTGCTTTTCTATTCGTGCTGGATACTTGGCAAACCTTGTCACTCATCTTCGCGGTCTCTCTCTGTGTATGAATAAATTGATCTGCATTCTCCATTGTTGGAGTACACTTGAGCTTCTAGTTTAAGCTATGAGAAATCTCTACTGTCACACAATGACGGCGAGACGGTCAATGTGGATTTCATATTTATGAATTAAATGTTTACCTTTTTTACGAGTTAAATTGATACAAAAGCAGCAACAGCCACCGTCGACGGTGACAGGAATGCGAGAAGGAAAAGAGCGCGCGCGTTCTATTCGTTTGCCAACACGGAGAATACGAAAACCAAACATAAATTGCGAAAAGAAATTCACAAAATCCAATAGGAAAACGACTTTCGAAATGTGACACAATATGAAAAATGCACATCAATTATCGTTTTTCTCTGTGCGAGTTGGGTCACAAGCGATACGAACAAAAGCGAAAGAAAAGAAAAATGGACACAGCAAAGATGGTAAATTTTTCTTCTCTGCCTGAATGTCATTAACAATTGAATGTTTGTTGTCTCGCGCCACCTTTCTGTCTCGGGCCACACACACACACACACACAACAAAAAGACATTATTTGGTGTTCGTTCGTTCGTCGTCGTTGTGATAGAGACGGCTGTTTGTCGTGGATGAAATCATATTTTGAATATATTCGTGCTTCTTTCTTCCTCTATCTCCCTCTTTCAAAAACCATCAAACGGTCATGTACACGCAGAGCGAACGCTTTCGGCGAACTTCTAACGAACATGATTTTTATTGTGCCAAGTTTTTACTTTCTTCCGTGGCCCTTACATAGAGCGAGAGCATGAGAGCCAGATAGAGAAAGAGAATGACATAAATAAAGGGCAAATGATATAATCATAAAATCTCTTTGTGAAATGGTTTCGATTTAACAGTGCAACGCATAAAAAAAAAACTTGAAAATGGTAAAGCATATTTAAATTGGACATATTTCATGCAAACGAAAAATGATTATGATGATACACACGCTTTAACATCGTGCTTCAACGTTTAGCTGAAATATAGCGATGGCAAAATCGCCTAATGTAATTTTTGTGTTGTCATAATGTCAATCTTCTATGCGCTCTCGATTCGGTGGGAGTTTAGGCAACAGTAATCGTATTGTTGTACAACTTCGACGCGAATCCAATAAAATCTTTGTGGAAAATATGCAGCGGGAAAAGGATTGAGAGCGAGGCCCATATTAAAATTGTTATATTTATTAAGCTCCTTACGATCTGTTGTGATTATTACGCAATACAACAAACATACACAAATAATACGATAAAAGAGTTGATGGCATTCATCCATGGTAAACTCTCTTCTCTCTCTCTCTCTCTCTCTCGTTTGATTTTTTTCCTGT